AAATATTTAAACTAGTAAATCTTGCCGTAACATATACTTTATACAAAACGTACTCGGGCGCAATTTAAAAGTTTAAAGTAGGGTAAAAACACTACACATAATTTGTTTTCGTCTTCAGTTGAATAATGGAAGCCTGGAAAAAGCCATTCATAGTTCAATGAATAGATGATAAATGAAAGAAAATGCCATCAGCATTCACATTGCGTACGGTTAGATTGTGTGTGAGTCCGAGTCACATCCACGCTCTGGGTACAGTCGTCCTCAATATCACGATATTCAATAAACTCAGCTACGAAGGCTGTTGCGTAGAGACGACGGATCGTCAGACGGTACCACTTCCTTACAATGAAATGGTGAATGAGGAAAGTCTATTCCACTACAAGTGTTATGTGGTACACACAACCTGTACTAAATTTTATGTAAAACCTCCTACAGCACTGCCAAGCTCTGTTTTCTCACACACTTCTTTTATCGCTGTGAGAATGACATTCAATTACCCAGAAGTAGCATTAGATTCAAAACGTGCGTATTTCTCCATTTCGCCAGTAATCACAAACATTTTCTTTTCCTACTTTTTACTTTTTTACTTTTTTTAAGCATTCATAAAGAGAGGCGCCGGAGTCACATAAGACCTTTGTTCTTGATGTGGACTACCTTCTACAGATTCTTCGCAACTGTTGCTGATACTGTGCACAACTCCACGTATTTCATTTTCAGTTCGCAGACATTTTAACTGAAACAAATACTAATTTATTCCACCAGGATGTTGAAGTATATAAGATAACTCGTCAGAAGCACTCACGGAGGCGAGATCCTTGTTGATATCATCAGCGATACCTTATGTGCACGCGTAAAAGGTTGCATTTCACGTTTCAAACTCTGTCCATTTTACTAACAGTTGGCGAGAGATGGACGGCTTGGTGGGGCACGACCCAAGATGAGCTGAAAATGAATTTACAGGTGCAACTTATCTCAACGTGTTTACAAATGTAGAACTAGCAATGCTGGTAAGATATTTTCAAAACTCTGGACCACAGGTGTCTAAGGTGGGGAATGAACGCGCTATTGTCCTTCCCGGGGAGTAACGCGTGCACCACCACACGATGCGGGTTCTTCGTTTCGCCTCTCTTTCAGCTAGTTCTATCGATCAGCGCCATCAGCAATCACCCGTCAACGAGATTGATCTGGGGACCCCATATCGGCATTGAGCCCATTTAAGCTGAGATTTGACTGGTGATGAATGCGTTACTCCCCGGAAAGGACAATAGCGCGTTCGTTCCCCACCATAGACACCTGCGGTCCAGAGTTTTGCAAATATCTCAGCATTATTGCGGTTGTATTTCACTTAGTACCCTGCCGTGAAAATTGTAGTATGCAGAAAGCAAAAAGTAAAACATTGTAGAACTAGCTTCTTTATAGTAACTGATTTGAATACAGCAGGTAGTGAAAAACATTTGATAATAAACGTTAATAAGCCAATAAACTGCTAGTTTATAATCGTAGAAAAAATAGAAAATGGATGAAAAATATCAGTTATAACTTAGAAACGAGTTATTTTCTTTGTTTAGTGAGGAACTTCTAACAAGGATATTTGCGTGCCACGTCGCACTTTATAGAAGCGGATTCACGGTGCCTGCCTGTAATACCTTCAAACACTGATAAATTTGCTTATCATAGGCCACAATATTCCTCACTCCAGATTCGGACAAGTATATAATGGCTTTATATTGCTCAAAGTAATAAAATTAAAGTCTTTGGAGTGATCGGAGCGCAAGCCGAAACAATTTGAAACGTTAGCAATCTATTCATTTGGAAGCGCATGTAGGAAAATACTTGTTGCCTGCGTTTCATATAAAACAACATTGCATTTCTGATTATATAAAAACTTCACTCTAAAGATGATCAGGGAAAACTTTTAGAAACATAATTAGTGTGGTTTTAAGGTGAATGTTCGCATGGTTTGTCACTGCATTGTTGCATCTAGGAAATAGCTCAGGAATTGCATGCTTTCCCTGATATTCACTAACGACTGTTGTATTCTTCCCGTTTAAAATTTTCCACTTTCAAAAGGATTTCACGTCTACCAAACCGATTTTTTGAAAACATGGGGATTTGTCATTGTTGAAGAGCTGAGCTTTTCTACACCGAGCTTCCATTGTTTATTATCCTCGTTTATGGCGACCGATAAATGAAGTCACAGAATCACGAAAGGATTTCGACAGCTTCTTTTCGACAGTACACACTCCTTTGTCACCGCATTGAAATTGAAGACACGGATTAGAAAAACGGTTTGAATGACCGGAAGAGTTTCCTGAAGGGAGCCGTAGTAAACGGAGATCGCACACTCTCCAGATCGAGTTGCTCACAGAGTTGGTGTAATGTGCTTCAGAACGCCTGACGTCAGAACAACTTTGTGCATCTGTACATCGACGAGGAAGCATGAATAGAACGTTGGTATAATAAAACGAATTTGTAACATCATATATTGAAACTTCAAGGCTATAGTATAACGTTCCATTCGGATGTTGCTTCTTCTTTGAACTCTTTTGCTTAGGTCAGCTGTACGCGTCGCACTTATGTTTGACACTCGTTCTAGTGCATCACTGAATAAAGAGTTATACCATATTTAATAAAGAATATCTGAATAGCCTTGTACTGTGTATAGTACAAAAGAGAGTATACGCACCGATGGCTTTTACAAGTACAGATATACTTTAAATAAATGTCAAATAAAGTACATTTGAATAACAATGTACTGTGTCTATACAAAGTTGCCTCTACGCATAAGTGGAATTTAGGTACAGATGTGCTTTTGTAAAACATAGATGGAGCTGGCGAGTGTCGTTACTGTGTGAGAAGGTTTTCTTGCGATTCCTCACCATTTCGACGGCATCTTCTACTTCAAGTTCAAGAAGCAAAGCTCTAGATCAATAATAGCGGACATTTTTCTACGAAACAGTGGTAAATAGTCGTTAGTGTTGAATGGGATCTAACAAGAATATAATCAACGTTAATCTATTTTGCTTTGTTTTTGATGAGCTGTTACGGTACTATTGACGTGACTTTTACTCTAGAACAGTTAACATTTCTGCGGATTTCATCCTCACCAAAGATGTTCATTACGTGTCGCCCACCTACTTGATAAGCGAGACCACTAATATAGAAACCACATAGGATTATAAGTCAGGAATTATTTCATTTCAAAAGAAACGCATAGGTGGTGTGGAGTAACCTCGTGTTAACTTACCCGTGAAAGAATATATATATATATATATATATATATATATACAACGAGGATTTGAGAAAAGCAGATATAGTTGTTTTTTGTTGAGGGAACTGCTGTTTTTTTGCTGGACTACGTTGTAGATAAGTTGACTAGAAGGTTCTGAGAGAGGCGAGATCCGCCGAAATGTTAGCTGTTGTGAACAAATAATATACAATGGCAAGTTCACCTGTGCTTATCAAGAAAATAGAACGTTATACATTTGAAGGTCATACCGTGAGAAAAGCTGGCGACAAGTGGACGAAGCGAAAAGAAAAGTAGTAGGAATCTCGAAAAAATCAACACAAATTCTAGGGAGACCACGGAAAAAATGGATCCATGGGTTCGTTGCCCTCGCATAACCGGCTGTATTCACAATTGTAATTGGTTTTCAGATTACCAAGTTGCATCCTAAGTCACACATGAAGGCATCAACTTCCATGGACTCCAGTCGCAAAACAATGAAACAAATGAAAATAGTGCTAGATCCCACACGTGGCATGAAATCGAGCCATCGAAGAATCTAAACAGTCATAAGCGAGTAAGTTGGTAAGCAAGTTAATTTTCTGTCTAAGTAATCTATGCTCACCTGAGGCCTTTTTAACCAATTTCAACATAATGATTGCTAGGACTTCTAATAAGAATAAATAAAATCTCATTAGGACGAAGAGCAAGAGGATGACAAATAGAATGGTTAAATATTACAGTGGAAGGAGAAAAGGGTTTACAACAAGGCGACCGTTGAGACTGAATACACGTTTTAGTGGTAGTGAATAATAGTTGAGCCAAATCTGTGTAGCTTCTCGAAGTTATAAATTACTCAACATTAGAGCGAGAATTGAAAAAAGAGAGGAGCAAAGTTGGTCTTTGTACAAAGTACTAACAAAAGGATATTAATATCGAAGCTAACTATTTCGCTAAACAGAAAGACAGAAGAGAGGAAAACAGAGAGCCGCTGTCTGTGAAAAATGTGCAAACCAAGAAACTGTCAGATCGTTTGTAGATTGGGGATTTATGAGACAGTTTACACGGAGAGGAAAAAAGCTCAATTCACTAAAGTGATATAATCCGATGGTAGTGTCGATTCTAATAAAAGCTTAAGAAGCTGAATGAGCTCTACATACAGTGGTTTCCTCAAAGCTTAAGCGATCGAGAAATAGTAAGGATGTCGAAAAATGCATTTTGCAAATTCTTTCCCTCTTATCACTTTTTTACCTTTTGTATTTCTACTTTTAGGCAGGTTTTTATGTACGGCCTATGAGAAGCGCTATCTCGTACTACAGTGTACTATGTGTGCACTTATCCCCATAATTAATTGGTACATTGGACTGGGCAATCATTCACCTGTACAAATAGCTTTTATAAAACGCTTTTGAACACTGTATAAAACTTCAAACGGAGTGATATCCACTGAAGTTTTCAGTTTTCCACTTTTCCTCATGGCTGCTTCAATGTGCTGTGACTGCGACATCCGTCAGAAGATGTGGTGGCTTATCACCCTAACAATCACTGCCATGTGCGGCTGTGTCAACGCAAGAATAAGTTGCCGAAATATGGATGGACAAGATGTCGACTGGTATGTTAATCGCTAAGTTGTACAAAACAGTTTTTTAGGCAAAGAAGTATTGAATAGTGGCTCTCTCACATGATTAGAAAGTGAATTTTATTTATGGGAGCAACTATTAATACTCGAAGCGATAGAAGTCGCAGTTGTTTCTGCTTTAACTTAATAATTTTTATGTTCGTCGGTTTGAAGCTGCCGGCGTTCCTTGACAAATTCAATGGACGTGGCTTCGTATACTTGGATTCCTCTCAGGCCAACTGGATACTGAGCCCACTTCCCATCAGCAGCCCTTCATCAGCAATAGGAGCAACCGTCAAAGATCTGTACTCGAAGGATAAAGTAGTGAATTTCTTTCACGAATGGAGAAAGTAGTTTTCCATCCTTTGTAAACTTGTAATTTTAGGAAACCTTGAAAATCGCCTACAACGATGATTGGCCTGATACACACAAAGCGAATGGCGGTCGTGGTCACAGCAAGGGTGTAGCTGTAGCGAATCTCGAAGGCGGATTTTGGCTAATACATAGCGTGCCGAACTTCCCTCCAATCAGTATTTCCTACTCATACTTTCTATTTTTACTTTTTAAAATGTATTCACTTAATCTTCATCACTTCATTTCATCCTCCGTTACAATTTCAACGACATCTTCCATTCGTACATTTATAGGTTACAAGTTTATGATCACATATGAGTTCCAGCGTGGAAAAAAGTTTTAACAGCAAAATATGACTATCCGGAAAGCGGTACGAAATTTGCGCAGTCGCTTTTCTGCATTTCATTCGACGTCGATGCACTTCCGGCGATCAGCCAGTATATGCGATACGCCCAAGTGACTCCATTCATCGCCAATTTACCACAGTCGATAAAGTTATTGTAAGGATTTTAGGTTTTTTAAAAATTGTCTTACTGCGGTTTACTCCTTCAGACAATAATTTTATTTTAGAGCACCGTACTTTGATGACGTCATTCACAGAAGGTCCCTAAGTCGAGGGGAAACTGTGTTCACCTTCTCTAAAACTATCAAGACTCGTCAGGGAGTGGATGTAACAATCTTTTCGAAACACAAGAAATTCGGCGAAGGTTTTTATTTTTCTACTCTGCTGCTTTTATTTCCTCGGAACAAGAAAACAGATATTGTCTTGTAGATCTTTGGCATGACTTTATTGCACCCAGTCTCAAAACATCACTTGCTGTCGAAACGTGGAGAAATGGAGCTGCACAGGATATTGGATCACAATGTGGTGACGGCGCAAATGTTGGTTTCTCCAGAGTGTCAAATTTCCAAATATCTGATCAATGTCTGCAGCCAAATTAATTATTTTTTAGGTGTATGACGTTACTCAGGTTCAGTTACCTTCAGGAAGTTTTAGCAGTAGTAAAGATCATTCTAAATGGGGTGTGTCGATGAACGAATCAATGCCGTACTCATGCATTGGTGACATTAACAGACAGGTAAACGTTCATTTTTCAGCTTCCGCTTTCTTATCACAATCAGTACGACTGGATGATTTATTGCCCTGGTTACTAGCTTCACCGCTATCGTACCGGTTTCCATTTCCAGGCTTCGCAGTTCAAACGTGGCGGTGGTGCCGCATGCATTCAAAGCAAAACCCTCTGGAAAACGCTGCATAATTCGGTGCTAAGTTTCGAAGCCTGCAAAATTAATAGTTAGTAAACAAGCAAAAGATAGAGGAAATCGGCAGTAAGAACGTTGTTTCCTTTTAGAGAAGAAGACGGAAGGAGCACTGAAGAAGAACGTACTAAATCAGTCCTAATAAAGGCATTTCCCACAGAATCATTGTGGTTTCCAGTTTTGAAAAATAAATGCTGTTTTCTTACATGAAAACTACTTTAAAACAAGGACATAGTAGTTGACTGTTTTCTAAAAACACCAAGTAAAACTTATTGATTGGCGACTAAGTTTTCTAAGACTAAACAGACTGAGAGTAACAGCCATAGGCTGCTGTGAAACGTTCGTCATATCAGATAACACCTTTGATTACAATAAGTTTACTTTTATAGGCACTCTTCACAAGTTGTGCGGACCCCAGCATATGTTTCACGTTTTGTTTGCCCGCCGCAATCGCCCTCCGCAGCAGCGGTTTGATTTGAGCGTGGTGACGGGTGCGATTTGCATACCTTCATCTCTAAAACAACTGCAGCTGTGAGTAAAGCAGATTGACATTAGTTACGAGTTGGTTCGCTCTAGAGGTCGGTTGTATCCTCGTGGAATTCATCCGGTGGTTCCTCTTGCCGTCTTCTGTTCTTCTCACTATATGACTAGCTCATCTATCTTTCGCTATCGATGCCTGTTCTTCCAGGTATCGAACACGATTTAGATTTCGAAGGTCCGAGCTTCACACTTTAGCTAAATGTTACGTGTGTCGGTTATATTTCAGAAGACATCGTTCAAGAGCTCTATGAGCAGTGCGCAATATTCTTGAAGTGGTTGAAGTATCAACCCAAGCCTCTGCTGGAGATCGGAGCGCTAGGAAGACCGTTGAATCAAAAAGGTGAATGTAGAGCTTAGGACCCACTAACTTGCCTTTACACCATTGACTGTTCATGAGCTAGATCCTGGTCCTACTCACCCGCAGTCCAATCTTTTCATCTCTTCGTTGAGTTCATTGAGCATGGCCTCCTTCTCTGGTACTATTCGAAGGAAATGTGATGCCATCCGCGAAACAATGTTTTGACACGAGTTTTCCATCACTGTGTGTGCACATTCCGTCACAATCTAACGAATTTGGTATCCAATGCGGTGCTGTTTCGAAAGACTTTGGCCACGAGGTGTGGTCTTGTCAAGCCACTTCTCTATAGATGTGCTAAGAGGTTTATGGAATAGCTGTATTTTTCTAGCACACTTGCGTTAACAACCGGATGGAGTTCTTATGTAGGACCGGTCTCCTTCTCAGTCTACGAGTGCTGATAGGAATGCAATGCTTTCCATAGCGCCAAACACTTCTTCACGGTCGAAAAAAGTCAGGAGTAGGGGCAATTTGTATTCCAGAAAAACTTCGATGATGCTGCACGCGGTTTGGTTGTAGTCTATTGATTATACTTAATTCAACATCTTTTATATGCGCGACATAAAATTTTTTCGTGAAGAACTTAAAGAGTATACTCATTAAACATATGCAGCCATAGTTACGAAGGTTCCTTCAGTCAACCTTTTTGGGTGGGGACACCACGCGCGAAGTTCTCCACTGGTTTGAAAAATTTTCTCTCTGACGTCGATCTTTAATTAGTTGATTGATTTAGCTACGCCAAAAAAGGGCCATGTAACATTATCTAATGTGTTTCAGATGGTTATTTCTTTTTAGTAGAGAAGAAGAGACATCCAAGTCTGTCACATTTCAATATTGGAAGGCATTGTGCTAGAAGTACGTTTTACTAGCTTGCCAATTCTAAGGCGTTCAGTTATAAGGTGGGAAGTTGGAAACTCTCACAGCTCTGTGCTTGTTGCTATCATTGGACCAGGTGTGAGCATTGCAAAAGCATTGGATGGAAATGCAGATCAATAGAACTACATTGTTCATCGCATCTCGCCGTCCTTTGCCTTAGTAGAAATTTAATTACACATTCCTTTCGAAATTTATGCCACAAACTCCTTAATACCTCAAATTCTTCAATCTTGCGTTAGAAAATCAAAAGGTACTTTAAAAGGAATAAGCAATGCTTGGACAAAGAGCACGTCACATTTCTACCTCCTTGGTCATCAAATCAATTCACCTATTGTCACTTATATTGTTGGGCCAACACGTAAACTCTAAATAAACAGTCTTCAAACCGCCCGTCATTTAACCTCGGTTCATTAACCATTTGACTTCATTTGAGCTCAATGAGCAGTTGGCTTTCCAATTGAAGCTAAAGTGTTGCCACCTCTTTGTCGGTGATATCTCTCCTAATTTGAAAGGATTTATTCCCACCGCGTTGAGACTGTGGTCTCGTGAATGAGTGCTTAAAATTACTTTCCAAAATAGATGCTTGTGGGCTAAGTTATTTTATGTGACGACAAGGGTGAACAAGCGTCTATCTTCTCCACTACTACGATTGTCTCTCAATATGAATTGTTTATCGTCTACCACATTTCGACTGACGAATTTTCGATTTGATGGTTTCTCCAGTCGTAATTGCATGTTGCTACCATCAGTCATACTGTATTGTTTAAACGTAAAGGTGTTAAACTGCTGTCGAAATCAATAGAATTTTCGTGAGAACCTTCTCCTTTTTGCACCTCTCTTTTGCAGGTCGCAACACTTCCACCTGTTCGTTATTTCGCATTCGTCATCCATTAGGAACTTCGGTATAGCGCGTATATTCGACTTGTTGGTAAATGTTGGTCGATTTCTCCGTGGAATCCTAGAATACCTCTACTCGAGCGTTTCCATATCTTATCCGCGGCTGTTCACTGCCATTCACAGAACGGAGAAAGCTGTTCTCACAGCATGCTACCAATTTGCCGTCTCCGGAGTGACAAAAGCTTAGTTGACTAAATACAGGTTCGAACCCATGCGCATGCATGTATGGTGGTACGCCATCTCTGGCCGGTACACTTTTTTAGTCATTTCTGCTTATTTTGCTTCCAATCATGCTCATCACTATATCGTCTTCCGAAATTGCGGCTACACCTATAGTACATATAGTGACTATGGTGGAGACTATAGTACTATGGCATAATGGAACATGCAGAGACTATGGTAGAAGGAAATTACGAATTTTCGAACCATGTAACCAAACAATTATACTTTTAGAACAAAAATTTACGTCCAGCAAAAAACTAAGAAACAAAAAACTAAAGCTCACATGTTGGATCCACATGTCCTATGTTCGATTATTTGTACAGACATGCAGAGAGACACGTTTCATTTCCCTTCGGTGAATGATAGTTCCAGATGCCCTTAGTGGATTCCTCAAATATTTTTTAAAAGAATATATCAGAAGAATTTAGTTGAAAATCGGTTCTCTGATTTTACTTACTTGGGCGAACAGTTAGGCAACCCGTCTTCACTTGTAGTGAGATTCAGTACATCTTCCATTCGTTTCCTCGTCCACGGAAGACTCCGTGCGGATGTACTCCATAAAATAACAGGAATGCTTATAAAGAACAAGATAATGTTTAAAAAGACACTGTTTGCTATACGAATAAGATTGACGTACTGAAATTTTTGCTGTGGATATAAACGCCTTTAACTGAGTAAACCAAGTGTAAATTAGACCCTTACAAGCTAGCTAATGTCAATAAATATTTTGATAAGAACCTCGTGTCTGCTCATCAAAAAGACAGTGATTTCTTGACTAATACCGACCTGATATAAAGTGTCGTCAGAGAGTTTTATAAGTGTTTAGCCCAAATGAAATGGCACGTTTTTTAGTGCAAGCTAAGGTAATTTGTACTGGCTGTTGAATTATTTCAGCAACTACATGATTTTATCGAAACTGAAAGTCTGCGGTGAGCCAAGTTCTTAAAGTACACGAAATCTCAGATTACTCGAACATGTGTGCTTTCGTACCCTTCTGAAGATTGTGCGTGATACATTTCTTAGTAAGATCGACAGCTATCAGTATCAGTGAGCCCAAAACCCTTGACTGGAATCCCAAGAACGGTTCTTATCAAGAAGAAGTGGTAACACTTAATTATGCTTTTCCATCACAATGCTGTGGCCGCGATAGCCAAATTTTGCACTGAGCCACCGAGGCAACGACATTTTGATTGTGTGCAAACACAATTAACTTAGCAAGCAAATAACCCGAAGTGTTTTCTATGATATTAGAGGTTACATACTGTTCGTCAAAGTGTGGAAAACCAGAAAGAAGCCATTGATTGTTCATGTGGAAGTTCAGTAAAAATGATTTTGACATTGCAAGACTGCTATGTGCCAGCAGCTTTCAGTCAGGCTTCTGAAGAAAGCTGTAGAAAGGGATGTCATCATAAAAGAAGCATTTTTGGTGAACTATCGACAGTAGGCTGTCGTATATGCACTGGAATAACCTAGTGAGGTCAGATCATTTAATCGTGCGTTGGTCGTGGGTAAAAGAACAGTGCTGGGTGACGCTACCTTATTCGGACCGTGTGGGATCTTCTGGAGTATTCGGAAGATATCTGAGCCACATGCCAGGAAACCCATTTCTACAATAGCGATGGAAATTTTCGCGACAACACTACCACATGGATTTCGATCAAAAAATTGTGCTATCAAACTCCTTCAACTCCGATTTTTCATAAAAAGTGCTGAAACAGTTCATTTCGGTTTGGTCGAAGGATCACGTCATAAATATGAAGCTGTACCTATTTTTTAATGTAAATCCGCACAACGAAAACGGAATAACGCACTACTCACTCTCCAATGCGCCAACGACATGCAATGCTAGCTAAATAGTACATATGAAGATAGCGCTCACGTTAGGATACATCGTTGCTGCCCGTGCCGAAAACCCTCTAAGACGAGTTTTGTGCTCATCAGCACATTGAATGGATGTGCATTAAACCCGGTGCTATTCTACGTGATTTACTGTGTTGATCTTTATGTTGATGTGGTATTTTTTTGAAAAGCTGGAGTTTAGGACACTTAACGGTGAACAAAGCGTTAGTATGTAAGGTGACTTTTGCGTCCACACATTGTTTCTAACAAGTCGGAGCACCGTACACAATGCTTCCAAACTTGCTCGTAGCAACATTAGCCACGTATTTGCAGTCATTCAACGGGAACGGGAAATCGATGCGCCGTTAGTGCTTTTCTTCCAGAGGTCGTCCTATTGGAAAGATCGCCATATT